GACTATAATGAATAGTTAATACATGTTAGTTATATTATATATTCCTTGCTATAACCAGCCATGCACCTCTGACAGCATCCCTAGGATTCTACCATGACAAAGGTCATTTCCCAGGGCCAATTTCATGGGCCTTTGCAGTTAGCCCAGGGTCCCATGAACAGAAACGTCCCATGCCAAGGAGCTGGCACGTAATTGAATACTTAGTTTTCATCATGTTGAATTCCTAGTCATTTTATCCTTGATTTTTTCTTTTGTAAGTGAATCATACACCATGGAGTAGGATTGGAGGAAAGATACACAAACATGTGTTCTCCCACTCACATGTGTTACTACTATTATTATTTTTTTTAAGATTTATTTATTTGTGTATACAGAGCTAGGGAAGAGGCCAGAGGTGCAGGGGCATTAAGAGGATTCATCAGAGACAGAGTGGGGAGCAGAACAGGCAAATCTTTGAAGTACACTGCTGAGGGAAGCAGTGGGTGGGTCAGGAGAGGTCTGCCACACTGTGTGGATCACCTCCAGGGCAGGAGGGGATCAAACTCATGCAGAAGTAGCTTTAGCTTCTTAGTGCTGTGCTTTAACCTGCGGCACCACCAGGGAGGGCCTGTTATAATTTTTAATTATGTTTATTGAGGCAATGTCAGCTTACAATACTTTACATGTTTTAGGAAGGAATACTCACACCAAAAGGCATTCTTGATGCCTGCTTGAGCATAGGATTCTGAAGACCTCATAATGTGTAAGCATCTTAACATCTACATCTGAATAAGTAGGGGCATGGACAACCTCAAGAGGTCATGCTTTCCATTCCAACCAGAACTTGCTCTGAATGTAGAAAGCAAGCACTAAACCAAGGAACACTCTTAAGTCCTTTCTAATGCATACTATTTCCCTGTATTGCTAACCACTTACTCTGAAAATGAGACAGAAGAGAAGGCAACCCGTATTCCTTTTCCTTCATGATTTCCTTAATCATCAATGAGTCATATACAACATAAATAGTGCTGATAGCATAGCATCTATCAAGCAATAAAATAAAAACCTACATTTGTTTTGTGCTGTTTCCACTATTCAGGCAAAAGGGCACAAATACATAACCAAACTTCAAAGCACACGTGTACATACATGCTAGCATGGTAGTGATTGCTATAAAATACAAATTGTGTAATTTTGTTGACTTTACATATGATTTCAATATGAGTTATATGCTCTTATATTGTGCAAAACTGGCATTACACAATATAAAGATGAGCAATAAAATGAAAGCTAATAATTTATCTTTCTTTGTGTAGAATGATGTTGACTGGCTAATAAAGCCAATTCCAAAGAAGGAATGTGGAAGAAAGGAAATATTATATTTTGTATCTTTACTGATACTTCTTCCTTCTTTTTAAATAAAGGGCCCCACCTTTTCATTTTGTATTAAGCCCTTTAGATAAGATGGTTAGTCCTGTCTTGAAGCTTTTTATTCATCCCTAAATTTCCAATCAATCACCTCCTGCAGGATGTCCTACAGATCCTCCATTCTTCCTAGTCTCTTGTGGCCTTCTTGCCAGCAATCACCTAGTATTTTATATATTTCTCATTGCACCTTCACTCTTAGAGTTAATTTTGAGAACAGCATCTTCCCTAGTTGTCTGTCTTTCTTGAAAGACAGGAACAGACTTGGCATCCTTATCTAGCTGGCCAAGGACCAGAATTATGGGGCATTCACAGCAAAAATAAATTCCAGGAACTAACAATGAACAGATATAATCAGGAATCTCCAAAGCTGGTTCACTTGGCTGCACAGGTAGCTTGAGAAGTAGTTATTGAATGAATGAAAGAAAACCGCTGGTTCCAGTCCATCGAATGGCACTTCCTCCAGTTCTAATATTCCCTGATGAAATCTGATCCATCCTTGTTTAACTGGTTCAAGTGTCACCTCATTCCTTGAAATCTCCCGATTTTCCCCTTCCCTCATATCCACATTTCTAATTTTCTGACCTCAAGTTCCTTACCATTTACTAACTTTGACACTGAACAAATTCTAATTAAATTTGACTTTATTGTTTAGATTGGTGACATTGAGGGCATAGCAGAATGCAGACTAGGGTGAGGCAAGTGAGGCATTTGCTTTGAGTGCAAAATGTAAGGGAACATTTAAAAACTCAGTGATCAACCCAGTTGATGTTGAATATATAATTATGTTATAAACCCAGTCATTCCCTTGACATGTATAGATCCTGATAATGAAGACAGTTATGATGGAATGCAAGCATGGGTCATGAAACAGCTTGGTGGTGCCCTCTCATATAAGCCAGGTGGGAACACAGGACCATACTCTTTAAAGTTTGAATGTTATTTTCTCTTTAATCAGGTCCCCACAAAAATTCTCCACTTCCCCATGATAAATCAGTTTTGATGGAAACCCTTTTTACTGTCATGCAGTCTGGAAGACTGCCCTGAGAGAGCTTCTTCAATGTAATTTCAATAACAACAATAAAAAATAAAAATAAATGTTATTTTAATAAAATTGCATTATAATTTCCCTCCCTATTATTATATAACATTGTTATAGAGAATTGTTTTAATAATACCATGTTATGTAGTATTCTTTGTCGTAGTTTTATTTAGTTTTTATTTAGAAGTTTGCAAGCAAAATGAAATCAAATGAGCAAAGTGGTTCAAATAAAGGAATTCAACACTTTTTGTTTTATACCCTGATCTCTGTATGTTTTCTTCGTAAGAAAGAATTTAGCTCCAATTTATATTCAAGAAGGGGGAGTGGAGGGGATTTTATAGCCTGTGGCCTCATTCCCCACTATTCCCTTTTGTGAAGAAAGATTGGCATCACCACCCTCATCATCTACCCTCAACTGTTGTGGCCTATCAGAGACAGGCTTTTCTCTAGGTAGCCAGGTTCTTCACCCACAGTTAGCCAGCAGGGGGCTGTCTGTTTGGAACAAATGGTGCAGACTCCACAGCTTTCCTCCAAACCAACCAAAACATCCCGGGGCAGCTTTGGAGCAAAGCCCAGGAACTTCCCTGCAAAGGAGACCAACTTCTTTCCTGCTACAAAACCTGCAAGTCCTATGGTGCAGCCTCGTTACAAGTGAAGACTAAAACGTAGCTCTAATGTTAAGGACCAAGGGGGGAAATAGTGTACCATGATTCTGAAGGGAGAGGACTTCCCTCTTACTTGACTTGGAGGTCTTCATCTCTCAGGAAGTACACATAATGCTGTGCAGCCAGGCTTAAGGAACAGCTTCTGAATTCTTGACAGTCATGGTTGTTCGTGCTGTCAGCAGAGTGGGGGCTTCTCCCTGTCTCGGATGATATTCTCCCAAGAAGCTGGAATGAAACACACATCGCAGGATGCAATCTAGAAAATTCTCAGAAAATCATCTACATAATGTTCACACTTGAGGTTGCAAATGGTCATAACTTAATCCCATTGCATGTTATAGTAAAGAATGTGTATAGTGAATAATGAAGTAAGAATTGTTTTAATATTATCTACAAGAAAATAATTGTACTCTGCCCTCTAAATAGTTTGGTTGCAACTATAGCTTCGTGCTGACCACATTTAGGCTTGGGGGTGGGCGGGGGAGGCGGTTCTCGTTGTTTTTCCAAGTTTTCTTCTAGTCCAAAACGCTACTGCCAAAACTTTTTCCCTTGCTTAACCCTTGGCCTTCCCCGGGTGCTTGGGGAAGGGGCATTTTAAAAATCCCTATGTGCCTGGGGCAGAATGTTCCCTGAATATAAATTGATTTTTGCCTTCCGGGTTTTATCTGTACATATCCATGATAAAGAAAAATTCATAGGGCGGCCTTTCTGGAACATGTTGAACGTCTCAACCCTACACGCATCTCCCAGGATAAGCAAAATGGTGTGGAGGAGTGTCTTCCCTCAAAGGCAAACCAGGTATTTCCCAAAATCTCTTCCAGGCGGGTGACGAGGGTTAGAGAAGGGCCAGAGGGCTGGCCGGCTGGAGGCCCCAGAAGGAACCCGAGCGCGGGGTCTGCCTCACACGCGCCGCCACAAGTGGTTTGGAAAGAGAGCGAGGAGGGCGGCGACTTGGGCCGCGCTCGTCGGGGCGGGCAAAGAAAATCTTGTGTTTCTGGAAGTCACCTCCTCCCCCTTTCCCCTGGCACTCGTTCCCCATTCCTTCCTCTTTGCCTACTAGAGGAATGACGCCCCAACCCGAACATCCGTATGCACTCAGCACGGTGTGTGGACGCGCGGCCACCAAACCCGCGGCAACATCGCCACCCCAGGGAGGGAGGGCAGGGCCGCGACTGGGAGGAGGGGGAGCACCCCAACCTGAGGAGGCAGGTGCGGAGGCGGGCTGCCCAGGGGTGGCGTGTGCGTG